TTTTTTTTTTAATTTACACACCGTACCTACTTTAGGGCATTGTTGACAACTTACCTAATTAATCTTGAAGGGTTTTAGAAACTAAAAAATCATTGGTGAACTCAAAAAACATTGTTTTTTTATAAGAGAAAAATAAATTTTATTCTGATTAAATTTTAAAATAACTATTCTGTTTCGTAATCTGTATATTGTATATTTCCTTCAATTTCTGGATCTTCATCGCTATCATACTCGGACTCCTCGTCATCAACTGAAAATAATAAATATTCATATAAACTAAATAAATGATATATATTATTGAGAGTCGTAAACTGAAAATTACCTTCCGAATCATGATTATCCAAAATGGCATCTTTTACTGATGGAGGCAACTGTGGCCCTTCAAACCACAGAAAGTCGTACTTGTTATTAATTAAGGTCCATCCGGATGTTTGGGGCTCAAATTCAATCATATCCGATAATGTTGCCTTATTCCACAAGTGTGCGATATAGTGCGCCCTTCTCATTTGCTGCAGAAGCTCAGTGTAGCAAGGTGGCAGGCAGGAAGCGTCAAAGTTTTTTAATTTGGCTTTCAAAAAGGGTTCATGCGTATTTTTTACTTTATAATTTCGAAGAAACATTTGATACCTGACATTGTTGATTTTTTTTTCTTTCTCATAGCCGTACATACTACAAACGAATTCTTCAATTTTTTAAAAGTATTATTCAGATCAATCCCTGTATCTCCTAAACTAGCGAATGCAACTTGTAAATCCTGTTTTTTTGCCAGTATTTCAAATGGGCGCTGTTTTTCTTTCCTAAAAAATGCAGGATTATAATCACAACCGGTGAATGCGTGAAATCCTGGCAATGCTTTACACAACTCTAACCCTAAAAGTTCATGAAGCGCATTTACGTCTACAATATGCCGACTTCTTGAAACGCCACATTCAATATAATTTTTTACAGATATTTTATGTAGATTACCTAACATAATAACAATAATATCGACAATAATTTCTTATGTTTATGACCTTTGCGGATTAAAAAAAATTCAGGATGCGACCTCTAGATTAGAAAAGATTCAAATATCGAAAGATTCTGCGAATTTACTTGAATTTATTAATGTAATAAAAAACAACGTGAATCCTTTCGATAGCACTGAAATGAGCGACGATTTATTGTATAATATGAAAACTGGACGCTCTGCGCCTGATACTGTGGCTGATTTTCTCCTGAATGTTGAAAAAAAAAGGACAGGAACTGCGAGACAAATTTATTTCCGAGTGCGCACAAGATGATCGCAGATTTGAAAACGTTATTAAGCATAATAAATTAATTAATTTCACATCTTGTAATAAGAAGCAAAAAATTACCATCAATCATAAAGTGCAAGAAATTCGTATACAACGCGATCTATTCGGCCGTCTTTTGGGGATTTCGATGGAAGGGTCGACTGATATAGAAAAAATATTTTCGTTCCCGATGACTCCGATACCAACATCATTATGTCATTTAGATGGCATGATTTGCAAAACAGAAAAATCGGCGATGATGAAAATTTTGCGAATTGATAGCGTTGTACCGAACCACATCGATGTAGTTATAGTTGATGGTTTTTTTTTAATTCACACAATGAAAGATGTGCCACAGTCATTCAGAAATATATCCAAAAAAATTTTGCAAATTCTCGCAAGTTCTAACGCTTTATGTGTACACGTAGTATTTGATCGCTACTGGTCGCCGTAAATAAAAGATTACGAAAGATCGTTGAGACGAGGTTCTCACAGTAGCCATGAGTACATTATCTCGGGTCCAGATCAAGCTTGGACACATGATTTTGCCAAAGAGTTGAGGAATGACAAATTTAAAGAAGCTCTTGTCCTTTATTTAATACACCATTGGCAGAGTAACGATGTAGCCGCTTTTATAGGAAATAAGACTATTTTATTAAATTATATCCATTGTTATTCGTATAGCGTCGTTAATGGTAATGTAATTAAAACAGAGAATTTTGATTATTTATTGGATGTGGCGTTTCAAGAAGTCGGCATATTGTAGACGTATATGCGCTTCATGAACTTTCAGGGTTAGATTTGTGTAAAGCATTGCCAGGATTTCACGCATTCACAGGTGGGGATTATAATTCTGCATTTTTTAGGAAAGGAAAACAGCGCCCATTTGAAATACTGGCAAGAAAACAGGATTCACAAGTTGCATTCGCTAGTTTAGGAGATACAGGGATTGATCTGAATAAAACTTTTGCAAAAATTGAAGAATTCGTTTGTAGTATGTACGGCTATGAGAAAGAAAAAAAAATCAACAATGTCAGGTATCAAATGTTTCTTCGAAATTATGAAGTAAAAAATACGGATGAACCCTTTTTGAAAGCCAAATTGAAAAACTTTGACGCTTCCTGCCTGCCACCTTGCTACACTGAGCTTCTGCAGCAAATGAGAAGGGCGCACTATATCGCACACTTGTGGAATAAGGCAACATTATCGGATATGATTGAATTTGAGCCCCAAACATCCGGATGGACCTTAATTAATAACAAGTACGACTTTCTGTGGTTTGAAGGGCCACAGTTGCCTCCATCAGTAAAAGATGTCATTTTGGATAATCATGATTCGGAAGGTAATTCTCAATTTACGACTCTTAATAATATATATCATTTATTCAGTTTATATAAATATTGATTATTTTCAGTTGATGACGAGGAGTCCGAGTATGATAGCGATGAAGATCCAGAAATTGAAAAAAATATACAATATACAGATTACGAAACAGAATAGTTATTTTAAAATTTAATCAGAATAAAATTTATTTTTCTCTTATGAAAAATAATGTTTTTTGAGTTAACCAATGATTTTTTAGTTTCTAAAAGCCTTCAAGATTAATTAGGTAAGTTGTCAACAATGCCCTAAAGTAGGTACGGTGTGTAAATTAAAAAAAAACGATCGGTGGTGCGGTGCGCACCAAAATACGCTCTCGCACTTCGCATTCGATTTACTCGTAATCGCTTCTACTTTAACTTCTGACACTTTGCGCACACTTTACTCTGTACGTAAACAGTGTAAATTTAAATTGTCAGAAGTTTTCTTCTAAATGTAAATTTTCCGATATTTTTCGCAACTTTGTCGGCTTCTGACACCCCTTTAGCTTCCACTTACCCTTCTGACAATTTTTTTACTGTTTTTTCTTATGATTTTCAATACCTATGTAAATTTTCAGCCGTGTACCTCGACAGTTTTTTTAATTGGAAAATTTACGCGTTTGATCGCCCGCCCACGCACTTAGCTTCCAGCGCGCCTTCTGACGGTCGGGCTTTCGCTTTGCCAGCACCAATCGAACCTTTTCCAGGTAACATTTTTCATGTACCGAGGCATGTCGCATTTCATGTAGCCAGCTCTCCGTCTACTTGCAATTAGAATATAACAAACCTGACAAATCGAAAACTTTATTGATACCTCAACGAATCGAAGAGTTTTTTTCTTCTACGTCCGATGAAACTTCTTTTCCACAAAGGTTAGTTAGCAAACATTTTGATAGAAATTTTATTGATACCTCAGCGAATCGAAGAGTTTTTTTCTTCTACGTCAGATGAAACTTCTTTTCCACAAAGGTTAGTTAGCAAGTCATTTTGATAGAAATTCATGATTCATGTACCTTATGGACTGGACACATCTATACATCACTTATACATGTCTCGTTGGTTGCATGCAGTTGCATAGTATTATGTATTATAATCTCGATTTAGAAAAAAAATATCTCCAATAATATATAGGTATACTTTTTAGGGTACGGAATCAACTTCCTATAAAATGTCTCAAATCTATATACTTCTCTTTGATCTATTCTAAACTTGAATATTTGATTTCTGTATGGGGTTCAACAAAACTATCAATTATAAGACCTCTCAAAACTCTTCAAAATAAAATTATCAAATGTATATACAGACTAAATTATTCGGAACCTACTATGAACCTTTACAGAAGAAGAGAATTATTAGATATAGATTCACTATATAAATTCAAATAAATGTCGTTCATTCATTCAGTTAAACATCGTCAAAAGCATTCAAATTTGGTTTCCAAATCAATAGTAATCACCACAACCATACAACCAGACAAGCAGATCATTTTTCTGTCAAGAAAATTGAATCAGATATTGTTAAAAAATCCATCTATCACAATGGAATGATACAATACAATTCACTACCAAATAACTTGAAGCTGATTAATAGACTTGAAAAATTTAAAAGAGAATTCAAGAAACATCTACTCCTGTAATATTGACATCTAATCTCATTTTTATAGTTTTCTTGTACAACTACTATAGTTTTCAATTGGGTACCTAACAGCTGAGTCAATTGAGAATCATTTTCATTTGAACTTGAAAAAAAAGATTCCTCATGAGTGTGAGTCTTATTTTACTGTCTTCTTTATTTTATTTTGTCAAATATATTTATGTATTCACTATGTTCCCTGCTATAAACAAATGTTGTTTCTTGGGAATAATAAAGTTGATTGATTGATCGATTCCCATTCCCTTCGTATTATTTTGTAGGTTAGCAGGTAGGTTAATCTAATTTTCGGAATCATGGAATCTTGTGGAAGAGAGGAATTATGAGTTCCTAGAGAAAGTACAGTATGTAACGCGTTTATGAGTCCCCGCGAGATTAACCCGTCGAGTTGAGGCTTCGCACCCCTTCGTGGTCACTTTGGAGATCTGCAGAACATATCTTTCCTCGTTCATCCAACGAACAGTGAGGCTCTGGAACACATTGCCAAGGGAGGTGTTCCCCGAGGCATATAACCTCCAGAAATTTAAAGAAGAACACCAATTCCTACCTTATTTCCCTTGGTACTCACGATGTACTGAACATTACAGGATATCCCTTTTCGTGGGAACCAGAACATAAAAAAAATATACATATCATGACCGATGAATCTATCTATCTATCTATCGATCTATCTATCTATCTATCTACTGGTGGGCAAATGACTATTACGTTGCAGGAAACCACAGCCAGACTGCTGTTCATGGCAGTCCGATGGGTGCGATGCCTGGCGCCATTCCAGACCCTCAGCAAGCACGACCAGCTGCTGCTGCTGCAGGAGTCCTGGAAGGAGCTCTTCCTGCTGCACCTGGCCCAGTGGTCGGTACCGTGGGACCTGTCTGCCCTGCTGGGTTGTCCGCAGGCCAGGGAGAAATTGCCTGCCGATTTGCATACGGCGACCGAGATCAAAACTATACAGGTTAGTGGTCAAAATACCTCATTTTCTTTCTATACCAATATTATCTTTCCAAAGTCCTGAGTTGAGTCGTACGTGAATTCTCCTAAATTTTTAAAATTATTCTTTCATTATCTTTTTTATTGCAGGAAATTATGTGTCGCTTTCGACAGATTTCTCCAGATGGCAGCGAATGTGGATGCATGAAAGCAATTCTACTCTTCACACCTGGTAAGATATAGAGGGAGGAGACCATAACTGGAATGAATTGACTACTGGGGGAGTGAATGATTTTTCTGAAAAATCGCGAGACACGTCAACGTTCGAATGTATGAACCTTCATTTGGCAAGCAACATGGAGAATATAACCCTTAGGGGTAGCTAGAATCAACCCCAACAGTTTTCATTTCAAATGCAACCCTATAGCTCACGACCCCTCATTAGAAATCTGATTGAAAGAGAAATCCTACGTACTGATCATATTTCAGTTTGCAGTACGTTTGGGGGTCGCATAAAAACAAAATATAATTTCGAAGTTCAATATATTGTCGCAACTCAGATGGTTCCAGTAGGTATACGGCATTATTGAGAACAAACGGTGCCTCCACCACGTGTCGCAACTCAGATGTTGACCCTCCTATAAATAGGTCGTGACTTACCTACTCGCTTGGCTTTTTGGCGAGAGGATTTCAATCATTTCATCACCCAACCATATTCATCCCCAAATGAAGTGAATTGTTTTTCAAAAGTACAACAAACAATTTATTCAATCATGAAAACATAAAAATGTGCCAAAAGGGTGGAACAGCAAAGTACAAACTTGAAACGAGCAAACAACAGAAACAAGATGATGGTTCTTGGTACTTACATTATGTTATGGGCAACAGCACCAAAGCCGAGGGGAAGTCAGTGAAGTCACACTCCCAAAGTGGCATAGTGCCACTTTGGAAGTCAGCAATCAATGAATGACTGTTTTGTACAATTGAACTAATAATGCCTTGTGTTGATAATGAATCCCGATAGAACTAATAATGACCATCCTTATCGATTCGGGTTCTATTTATATTTGAAATCGATGCTAGATTCGTAATTTTCCACAATGAGAACGGTCGTTACCTTTCGATACTGCTTACCTATGTATTATCTCGGGGTAAGCGGTTTTTTTGCAAATTATAAAGGAAATGACGTCTATGAACTCGCCGACCTGATCGAAACTACAATGTTCTGAATGTTTTAACTTGAAAAAGTTAATTAATAATAAAAGATCTTGGGGTGATGTTATTTCATAGGCATTTGTACTTCTTGACACAATTTTCAACGCATATTTTCATAAAAATTTCGACTTTGAAAGTAATATAGGGCTTTTCCACCAGTTCGTTTCGAACTGTGGATACGGCAAAAAAAACTAAATTTCTTTTAGCGGCTCTATATAAAATACTGAAATACAATAGCAGATAGCAGTAGCACACATTTTGAGCGATTGATACTTTGAGAAAGAAATTGAATTTTAAAATTACATTCCAATTGTATGCAACCTTTAAACGTATAAAGAACAAATATTTGACTAGTATTACTCGATATTGCTTGCAAAAGGTAATTAAGTACACTAAATCGTTGACGTATGTCGGGAAATTTTTGAAAAAGAAAAAATATTCACCTCCCCACTGTATGTTTATCTACATATCATGAAAAAAAATTACAAATTAATATTCTTCTGGAAATGTTTTTTTGCCGGTCGGTAGACGGACCCGTTTTCATAGGTATAGAAGAATAGTACATTTGGGAAAGTGGTGAGAAATAAATAATGATATCATGTACAGGGTGCTCAATTTGTATAATCGAAGTTAATGCTACTTTCTAGTAGAATCATCAACGCTGCAACATCTGAATATTTTGGGTTCCGTGGAGAGCTCTCAGGAGTTCCGGTATCAAAAGGGAATATTTTTAAAGCAGAAGACACCGCTCTGCCATAGCGAGTTACCTCCGCATCTGGAGGATGAAAATAATAGTTTTTTCGAAAGACAAGAAGATTTACATATTGCCGGAGTGGCTTCTACACTCAAATATGTGAAATCCGACAATGAAAACGAAACTGAAATCATTTCCAGTAGGTTATAGAATTGCTCTAGCTGGAAAAGTGCACACTATTGTTAATGACTCTAATTGACGCGCATCATGAAAAGCACTGTATAGGTATTGTAATGATTTTCAATGCCACACTTGAAAATATATTGTTCCTTATTCTTATCTAGTACTTTTTATTATGAGAATTATACAGTGCGTCCATAAAGTAACGCATAAATTTATTATTGGCTGAATGAACAATAAAATTAGAAATTCCCGAAACAGGTCGATTTTTGATTTCAATTTACTATTGTTTCAAATCATAATCTAATATACAGGGTGAACCACTTTCGTGTAATGACGTCATCACCATTTTTTTCAAATGGAACCCCCCTTTTTTTTCAATTTCAGAATTGCCCTTGCTGAGCTGATTCCAAAAATGTATAATATGTTGCTTCAAATTGGTACAGGGTGGGCAAAAATGCAAAAAAGAAAAAATGAAAATTGCTTATGGAAAGTAATACGAACGTACCTTCTCTCAAGAGTTAAAAATACGAAACTGTGCTTCAATGTTTTTGACAGTTTTGTCAAATTAAAAAAATGGTAAAAGATAATGCCAAACAAAAAGATTTTTATAGTCCACGGGCTTGGATCACTAATAAAAGCTGTAAGATACAATTATTAAGAATGATGCTGGATGTTCTTGATAGTTCATCAAAGTAGTTGTATAACAATACGTAATTTCATTTAATGTGTTTATTACGTTTATTCATTATTTTTATTACTTTTTGTAAGTAAAGTTTTGCATTTTTGCCCACCCTGTACCAATTTGAAGCAATATATTATACATTTTTGAAATCAGCTCAGTAAAGGCAATTTGGAAATTGAAAAAAAAAGGGGGGGTTCCATATGAAAAAAATGGTGATGACGTCACTACACGAAAATGGTTCACCCTGTATATTAGATTATGATTTGAAACAATAGTGAATTGAAATCAAAAATCGACCTGTTTCGGGAATTTCTAATTTTATTGTTCATTTAGCCAATAATGAATTTATGCGTTACTTTATGGACGCACTGTATAATTATTGATTGATTATAATAAGGAGAATGTCAATCAGGCTAACCACTACCACCGCGTTTTAAAACCTGACCAGATAGATCAATTATAACATCATAAGACGAAAATGTGAACTATTCAAGCAGCTTAACGATTCCATTTCAACATAGGTCCAACCCTTCAAGTTCAGGGGACCTCAATAGCAAATTTTGATCTTCATGGAACTTCATTTTCTTATTTTGATAGATAGTATTCGGAAAGAATGTGTGTCCAGGCACAAATTAAATGTTGTTTCATGGTGGTATCAATTAATTCAGAAGTTCAGTCAATCATATGTTGATCATGACTTGATGAAAGCAGCGTCATCCTAGGCTCTGAAGGCTGAACGCCTTTATCCTTTCCCTTTTCTCCCAAGACCTCGAACTATACTAACACTTTGCTTTCTCTTTCCAGAAACATCAGGCCTCTGCGACGTTCAGCCAGTGGAGATGCTGCAGGACCAAGCGCAGTGCATCCTGGGAGACTACGTCCGCACCAGGTACCCCAGGCAGCCTACCAGGTTCGGCAGGCTGCTCCTCTTGGTTCCTAGCCTGCGAGCCATTCGGCCCGTCACGGTAGAGCTGCTGTTCTTCAAGGAGACGATAGGAGATATCCCGATCACCCAGTTGTTGGGAGACATGTATTACATGGAGAAGTGTATAACCAACCCGTAGGAGATCTGATTCAGGGCGTTTTATTGAAACTTATTACTGCTGCTGATCATTAGTTCACCGATTACTCAAAGTCAGATTGCCTACCACTTACCAGGTTCAGAAGGTTGCTCCTTATGGTGTCTAGCCTGTTAGCCATTCGGCTCGTCACGGTGGAGCTGCTGTTCTTCAAGGAGATCATTAGAGATATCCCGATCACCCAGTTGTTGGGAGACATGTATTACATGGAGAAGTGTATAACCAACCCGTAGGAGATTTGATTCAGGGAGTTATTGGAACTTATTACTGGTGCTGAGCATTAGTTACTGATACCGATTACTTGGAGTCAAATTGCCTTCTAGGTTCAGCAGGCTGCTTCTTATGGTGCCTAGTCTGTGAGTCATTCGGCTCGTCACAGTAGAGCTGCTGTTCTTCAAGGAGATCATTGGAGATATCCCGATCATCCAGTTGTTGCCTCTGCGACGTTCAGTCAGTGGAGATGCTGCAGGACCAAGCGCAGTGCATCCTAGAAGACTACGTCCGCACCATGCACTCCAGGCAGCCTACCAGGTTTGGTAAGCTGCTCCTTCCTAGCCTGCGATTCATTCGGCCCGTCACGGTGAAGCTGCTGTTCTTCAAGGAGACCATAGGATATATTCTGATCACCCAGTTGTTGGGAGACATGTATTACATATGGAGAAGTGTATAACCAACCCGTAGGAGATTTGATTCAAGACGTTTTATTGGAATGAATTACTGCTGCTGATCATCAGTCCACAGATCACTTAAAATCAAATTGCCCACCAGCTTCGGCTGCTTTTTCTGGTACCAAGCTTGTGAGCCATTCGGTTCGTCACGGCGGTAGAGCTGCTGTTCTTCAAGGAGATCATAGGAGATATCCCGATCACCCTGTTGTTGGGAGACGTTTATCACGTGGAGAAGTGTAGAACCAACCCGTAGGAGATCTGATTTAGGTCTTTTCATTGAAACTTTCTGCTGCTGATCATTTACCGATTAATTGGAGTCAAATTGCCTACCAGGTTCAGCAGGTTGCTAATTTTGGTAGACATCGATGCTGCTGCTGATCATTCACCGATTACTTAAAGTCAAATTCCCTACCAGCTTCGGCAAGCTGCTCGTTTTGGTGCCTAGCCTACCAGCCATATCTGGTCCATCACAGTCAAGCAGCTATTTCTCAAGGAGACCATGGGAGATTAGGAAATATCCCGATCACCTAGTTGTTGGGGGACATGTATTACATGGAGATCTGATTGAGGGCGTTTTATTGGAACTTGTCGATGCTGCTGATCAGTCACCGATTACTGAAAGTCAATTTGTCTACCAGGTTCGAGAGGCTGCTCCTTTTGGTGCCTATAGTAACTCATCGCCGTTGCTGATCATTCACCGATTACAAAAAGTCAAATTGCCTACCAGCTTCGGCAGGCTGCTCCTCTTGGTGCCTAGCTTGCGAACCATATCCGGTCCATCACTGTCAAGCAGCTATTTTTCAAAGAGACTATGGGAGATTGGGAGATATCCCGATCACCCAGTTGTTAGGGGATATGTATTACATGGAGATCTGATTGAGGGTGCTTAATTTGAACTTGTCGATGGTGCTGATCATTCACCGATCACTGAGTCAAATAATTCTCTACCAGCTTTGGCAGGCTGCTTCTTTTGGTGCCTAGTAACTCATGGCCGTAGCTGATCATTCACCGATAATTTATAGTCATTTTGCTTGCCAGATTCGGCAGGCTGCTTCTTTTGGTACCTCTGTTGTTGGGAGAAGTTGAATAATTCCAAGTCGTCTCGATATAGCAGTATTCATCAGTAGCGATGCTATTTACCATATCCTATTATATATTGAAAAAATACAGGGTGTTTCGAAAGATGGATTTTCATTATAGAAAAAGTTCCAATAGATATCACTGATTATCTTTTATGAAACCATTCAAAATTGAACTCCATATTGAAATTCTGTTGTTGGTGTATACAAATTGTATTCACCGTTTTGAATGACAAAACATATGCATAAAAGCAACTTTTTCGGAAAAGTTGATTGTTGATTTGAGAGACTTGCGTACACATAATGTATACAAAAATAATATCTAGTCATATTATCATCTTCTCACTGCTGTGTTATAATTCCTCATTGCTGAGAATATAGATTAGTGTGCAGGCTCAAAACTGATTCACAATCAGTCAGTATAGACTATAGGGCCAGGGTCACAGTAATATATTTTCAGCTCTGAAATCACTATGTAAAAAGACATTTATGTTCACCTGTTTTTCTGTTGTATTCTGTGATATTTGATAGGAAGAATGTATATAGCTACCTATACTTATTTATACTATTTGTGAGATAAAATTATTGAAATGAGTTTTTTATAATATAATAATATATATTGTCTGTATAGATTAATTGAGGAGGTAAAATATTAATTTCTCTAAACGTCTTGAGATCTTCTTTCTTTGTCACTATTCCTAAATGATGATATTAGTATTTTTCCAATTTACTTGAGCCACTGTTGAGATAAAGACAAATCAGATGATTTGGCCCACAAATGTCACTGTTCTTCAAATTCCACTAATGGGAACATAAAAGAAGAATTCAATCCATAGTCAGCAAGTCAGGAACTTAATTGAAAAATATTTGTAAAAGAAGAATATATACATACTTATATTGAATTATACATAGAAAATGATAATTATTCCTTCGGGACTTTTCGGGAACCAATCTGCTCTCGTTTTCAACATAACAATGGAAAAATTATTCTTCGGTTTTCTCTCTTGTCACTTCGCAGTGGCAGAAGTTGAAACAAAAAAGTTCCACGTGAATACCATGTTCTATCTACAGTGTGTCCCAGAATATGTGGGCAATCTCCCAAATTTAGAATACATAAAAATAACATGACAATGTCTTGGATTTTTTTCTACTATACCCCTCTTCGGATGGTACATGAGAGATACCGCTGGACATGTTGTTTTCTTTATAATATTCAAATCATTTTCGGATATAAGGATCCGTTGAATGGATCCTTTCCTTTCAAAAGAATTTGACTCATTTGATTTGCCAAGGATGGACTAGCTTTGATACTCAATCTTTTATACCCGCATCATGTATGATGAAGTCACATAAATAATATTTTAAGAACGCTCAATTGATCTAAGCTATATACCTTGTATAATTTCGAATATACGTGAATATACATAGAGTAATTCCACCAATCAGAATTACAGAATTATTTCTATTTCCATAGTTACCAAATCATATATATAGTTACATGCAAACAAAGCGAATTGTCAAATTTTAATGTTCACTCAAAAAATAAGCAAGTTTTATATGGATGTATAACCTGAATATTTCAAAGTATTTCCCAGATAACACGAAGACGTCCTGAGTACTTCCGGAGGACGTACATCTGGGACGTACAAGACGTCCTGAAGACGATCAGTGTCGTTCAAGAGACGTCCATACCCTAACAACACAGGGATGTCCTAGGTGCGTCCCTTTTATGTCCCGCGGTACAAGGAAATGATTGGGACATCCAGGGGATGTCCCGCCAGTAGTTGTCCAGTGGACATCCCACCCGGTACATCCCTAGGTTATCCCATTCGTGTCCCTGGAATATCTGATATCCATTCTTCACATCAGAGAGTCATTCAATATCATCAAAATATTGAGTCGAATTTTTTCGAAAATGTATTTCTTCCGGAAAATAATTGTGATGAAAATAAAGAATATAGTCTCAAAACTTCTCAAGAAATGACCATTTTTCGCAAACAGAGATCGTAAATGCATAATGCCCCTCATTTTCAAACACCCAAGAATGATAATAATTATACCCGAATCCTAACAGTTTTATTTATCCAGGTTTCTGTAGTTGTCCTGTTTATAAATCTGTTCAATACATGAATCTTCAGAAGGCATATTGGCCAATGGAGTAAGGTGCGTGCCTGATAAGCTGAAGGTCCCGGGTTCAATCCCAACTAGACCTACTTTTTTTTTCTTTTGTCGAAGGGATGTCCCTGGGATATCCTTGGGACGTCCTAGGGATATCCCTTCTTTGTACTCGGTACATCCCAGGGACGTACCAGGAGGGACATCCCTTGGATGTCCTTTTTGTCTGAAAGCGGATGTCCCTGGGACGTCCCTAGTATGTACTTTGTCCCAGAAAAGATATCCCTGGGATGTCCTTATTCGAAATTAGGGACGTCCCTGGGAAGTCCCTAGGATGTACTCGTGTTGTTAGGGTATGACGTCTGGTGTTACAAGATAGAACGTCCCAGGGACGTCGCTATAAATCCATCGTTATATCCTTCGAAAACAGCATCATTTGAAGATTGGATATACATTATTCAACATAATAATATGCCAAAATTGCCAGATTCATTTCAAATTTTCCACATTGGTTACAAAAAAATCTCTTGATTCATTATTGTGACCTATTATCAAATGAATCGACAGATGATCGGCAGCCAACACCAACATTTAATGACATTTGGCAATGTTTCATTATTATTGAAAAATATAATGAAATGAATATAGTGAATAATGAATATAGAAAAAATTGAAACTAAAAATGGAGACCCTGAAAACGTACGCTCTGTTTGTACCAAAGACGTACGGGCTGGTACGTTCTGAGGACGTCCATATCCGGGAAGTACGGACTCGAATTGGACGTAATATGTACGTCCTCGGGACGTCGTGTGCTGTCTGGGTTATAGTATTACTTCTTTGGCCTGTGATTGGTCAGATAATGTCAAGGGTACTCCTTTTGTTCATGGTTTGAGCTACCTAAAAATACCCTTTTATGTTCCTTAACCATCTTACAGAATGTGAAAAATCATAGCGTTTATTGTGTTGAAGCTAGTGCGTCGATCCTTTGAAAAAAAATGACTTTGAATATTTGAAAAAAAAAGACTTCCAAGAGTTTCTTTATTGGACCGTACATCCAAGGAGGGGGTCATAGGAAATAAAATAGAAAACTGTCATATTATTTGTATGTATTCTATCTAGATCAGGGATATTTTCCAGCTCTTCCAGCAGGATGCTGTTATTTTTTTTTTCCTACGATCTTAATGTGATTTGATTCTGCCATATGTTGTCCATTTTCAGCAAAGATGTATCCAGCAAATTCAGATTTGTCGGCATGCTTCATCTCAGTTTTGTATTGGTATTGTTCTCATCTTCTCCGTCTTGAGAGAGAGTATCTGTTTCACCTGTTGAAGTATACATAAGAACAATTTGTTCATCGTTCTTTGATGATTATTCTCAATTTTCCGTCTTAGTTTGAATAAGAATTAATCTCACCGTATTTTCAGACTTGAACACAGTTTTTACTTGAAATTTAACATCACAACACTGTTATTCGAGGATTACTTCAAATGAGAAGTTACACTTTTAAGCTAAGTAAATAATTATGAATTGATAAAGACATTTTACCTGGGTAAAAAAACTGTCAATAGTGTAAATGATATTATGCAGTATAAAAACATAGATGCCGATGCGTACGCAACCAACGAAAAATGATACATTCATCAAAACCAAAACCACATATAGTTGAAACTACAAATATCATTACAGCTGAATTTTGAAGTATGAAAAATTTTTTGACTCATCTAATTATTATCAATTCTAAAAATGTCACAACACACATCATACGTGAGCTGTCACTGTCATGTGTGAATTAGACCAAGAATTCAAATAGCCAGGTCGCATCTCCTTTTAGTTTATTTCATAACTGAAATCCTAGGCTATGACTTGATATATCACAATTTTAGTATAATGCTGAACAATGCTGAATTGCTAGGCGAAAAAATATTATATATACCTCGGGTGAGAATGCTATTATATAGGTACAGTGTCATTCATAAGGCGGCATCATATGGGAAAAACTTTTATTAATGACTTTATTTTGGAATTCGAGGTGGACGTTAAGTTTTGCTTCGAAAAAGATGAAAAATGGCCTACTCAATCGGGGTCACGTGACTTTCGCTACATGTCAAAAGTGACATTTTTTCAAATTAATCGCTGAAAGTAGGCTTATTATTTGTTTGAATATCTAAAAAGTTGACTTGAAAAAGTTGTTTCTATTCCAATTTTACACATTCTTCTAAAATTTAATTTTTCTATTGCAACTTCTAGATTTTTTTTTTATTATTTTTCGAAATTTCTGTAATATTTGAAGAATTGTTAATTCCACGAATCTACTTCATACCAGTAGCTTTTTCATGCTACTTACTTCCAATTACTTATCATCACTGATTATGGACAGAAATATGATTTTCTTCAGAAAATGATAATACCCGCTTACAAATTCTGTTATGTTTGATGCAAAGTTGATATATCGTCAAGCATTTATATAGAAACGAAATTCATTTAAACTG